CTGCCAGGGCATTTACTGCAAAAGCAGTTCTTCCCAAGGTGCCCTTTGCATATTCCCCTCCTCGCCTCTCAGAGCATTTGGAACTTGCTTATGCATTGGAATGACTCTTAAATCAACTGCTCTTTTCTGTGCCTCTGCACTCACAGGTTCCTTCATTAACATTTTAAATAAGTGGCTAAAAAAACTCCTCTGCAGGTTGTTTTCAAAAGCAGGAGAAAGAAAAACACACACTACCTGAATTGATTTGACTAATTTTTGAGTGACTCAGTTCAAAGTCAGTATTGCATGCACAATGTCCTCATGCTGAGCCAGCCTGAAATAAGACTTGGTAAAAGGCACAGCCTTCACTGTGACAGTGTACACTATGGTGTGAGGGTCTGCACAGGCAAGCATAAGTGTGTGTGCTCATACACACAGATAAAGTGAAAGGACACCGGGCTTTGTGCTGGCAAAGGTTGTGATGCTGCTGTAGCTTGCTGTGGGCCCTGGGCAGTGTCAGATGGGAAGTGCTTCTATGGCATGTTGTTCAATGTATTTAATGGGGTCTCCCATGGCCCGAAGACCCACTGAGAGCACTCTGCCCACTGTGGCGCAAATCACAGCTGGAGTCATCATAGCCCACGTCTTTTTTGAAAGGCAGTGTTGACGCAGTGTGTACTTTAATATTTTACAAATCAAATATTAAAGTATTTTGCTCATCAAATATTTTACTCATCAAATATTAAAGTATTGGAGTACTTTAATATTTTACTCATCAAAAGATGAGAAAGAGGATACCATCAAGTTATGATTTTAATAAATATCTTCAAAAGTCTGGAATATTTTTTCTCCTTTTTCTTTTTGTTTTTTTTTCTTATGTTTTTGGAAATGTCTTGCCTGAAGTTGACTTTAATTCTAATATTCACTAAACTAGACTGGAAATGCACAATGCGTTGCCTTTATAATTTGATTCTAGATTTTAATGTATTACTGTCAATGTATATATATATACATAAATTATATTTATAATATAATATATAAAGTATCATTATATATTTTATATACATAAATATATATATTCTGGTTCTGTAGCCCAGGCTGGAATGTGGTGATGCAATCACAGCTCAAATCAGCCTTAAACTGCTATGTTCAAGTGATCCTTTTGCCTCATTTTCTCAAAAAGCTGAAATTACAGATGTGAGCCACTGCACCCAGCCTATTAATTTATGTTTTTAATAAAAGCATAAGAATTATCTTTATGATAAATTAAGGAATAGAATATCTTTAAAGAAATAGTATATCTTTAAGGAAACACAAAATCTCCAGTAGTTATAGATCCTATGAAAACCACCATTACCACTAGCAATTTTGTGTATGTATATATAACACGTACATACATCAATATATATAATATATGCATGACTTTTTTTCATATTTGGCAGTCACTGAAGAATAAAAATTAGAATTTATATTGGTGAAAAGTGAAATAAGTAATATTTGCTGTTTAGTGAAAACTTTGTTTAGCAACTTAAATGAAGCTGCAGAAAGTGTGAATTGGATAATAAAGATATGTCATGAGGGCTTCACAGAGGGACAAATAGAGGTAAACTAGGAGAGTGATAGTGACACATGGAGGATGAGAGTATCACATACGTGCTTTACAAACAGCATAATGTGTGATTAGCTGTAGCACAAATTAGAGCTAAGTAGAGAAGATGAGGAGAGTACATATTCGAGGGTATAACGTTTGATAATTTTTTCAAAGTAAACAAATGAATTGTATTCAGGAAGTCAAACAATCCTCATTTTGGATGTGTAAGACATAAATTTACTTTGTTTTGAATGTGCAAAACTATATATTTTTGCCTGATCTTTAGTATTTCTCTTCTTTGGTGGCTGATTCATTATGATGTGTTTAAGCTGGAAACCACCACCAAACATGAAGAATCTCTTAAAATCAGCCAAAGTAAACTGTTTCATTGTGAGGGAACACTTCACAGAATGACAACAGACTGCTCCACAATTGTAAATGTAAGAATAAGACAGTGGACTAATATTTGCAAAGTGTCAAAAAATGTGACTGCCAATACAGAGATGAATGTGGATTGGAAATACCTTTTATATAAGAGGATATAAGAATGATCTTGTCACATAAGTATAATAAAAAAATAAAGGGGCTTTATACCTTACTAAGGGCTTCTAGAACAGTACCCATGAGATCTACTTGAAAGATAATTCCAACGCCTCTGCCACATTTGAATCCACTTTTATTAATTGCTTTGTCTCTTAACAGTGTTTCCTTTATGTATCTTTTCTGTTTCTATATATGTCCGTTAAGTTTTACTCAAAAAGTGAACTATATAGAGTAGACTAATATAGAAAGCAAAACCCACATGTGTTCCCTTTTACTAGGCTGTGTATGTGTGTTTTGAGGGAGAAGGTGGAATCAATCTAATCAGGAGTTGATTTGGTTTTAGGACTTGTTCCTCTTAGAGTTAACTCCGGTGCACCATAGGTTTCCTGCTCATCTAGCAATACTTTGTGTTTCGCATTGGACTTGTTTAGCAGCTTTTCTCAGTATCTGCTGTATCCTCATCCTTAAATTTCCCTCCAAATTCCCCTCAGTCCCCCAGAAGACACTGCTTTGACCTGTTACTCAACAAGTTTTGCCTAGTTGGGGGTGGTGAAGAGAATAAAGAAGCATTCTCTGTCATTCTGATGAAGCTCAGTGACAGGTCGACACTGTTTCTGGGTCTTCATGGTTGGAACCCTCTTAATGATCCTATGCAACCTTCAGGTGTAGGTCTAGATCATCCACATATAGTTTTCCTCTTTTTTCCTTTTCCCCTTTCCAAAGTTCAATTAGTTTTACCAATGTCCCAAGGGCAATGGCATTCCTTATCTTTCCCTTTGTAGTTTTAGGTTTTGTCACACGGGAGAGATGGGGAGGTAATTAGAGGTCTTAAAATGTGATCTTCTCTGAATCTCTTCACAGACTGTAAAACAACGTATACACTGTGGAATACTATGCAGCCATAAAAAAGGATGAGTTCATGTCCTTTGCAGGGACATGGATGAAGCTGGAAACCATTATTCTCAGGAAGCTAATACAAGGATAGAAAACCGAACACTGCATGTTCTCACTCATGAGTGGGAGTTGAACACTGAGAACACATGTACACAGTTGGGGGAACATCACTCACCAGGGCCTGTTGGGGGATAAGGGGCCAGGGGAGGGATATCACCGGGATAACTACCTAATGCAGATGATGGGTTGATGGGTGCAGCAAACCACCATGGCACAGGTATACCTGTGTAACAAACCTGAATGTTCTGCACATGTCCCCGGAACTTAAAGTATAATAATAAAAAAAGGTTTATGTCTTAATGTTGATGTTAACTTACCATAAATTAAATTGTGTGTGTGTGTGTGTGTGTGTGTATATATATATATATATATATATATATGCATTTGAAAAATAGGCATAACATCAAATTCATTTATTTCAAGCTTATTTTACACATTAAAATATTTAAAATACATATTATATATAATTTTCTTCTGCATGAAAAATACTTACAGTTTCTCTCTTTGACTGAAATGATTCCTGTATCTTATCCTGTTTAATTTTTACGTTTTCTAACGATTGCCTTCCAAAATATTATTCAATATTCTAACTTCTAGTATCAATTAATGAAGTTCACAATTTATCCAAATATATTTATCTATAATATAACATTTGTGTGTTTCAATTCTTCTTCTTAAACTTCTCATTGAGATTCATTAATTTGTTGCATTTTCATCTTATCTTTGTTTTACAGAATTATTTTTTATGAAGAGATCACAATTTATTTAGCAATTCTACTGTTGATTAGTATTTATTTTGTCTCCAATTGGGAGCTACTATAAAAATTGATGCAATGATCAACACTGTGTTTATCTTGAAATACACATAGGCAACCTGTGAAATCTATTTTAGAGTGAAAATATCTAGCCCATAAGGAATGCTCATAGTCAGTTTGCCAAAATGTATTTCAGTTTACATCCCTCCAGCCATGAATAACTTTCACTGATTCTTTGTCTTTCACAACACACAATATTATGTGTCTTTAAATTTTGCTAATTTTTATGGAGGTCTGTACTTCAACTTATGGATTAACTTTTATTATTCTGAGGACTAACACAAGTAATGTCTTTTTCATATTTGTCCAGTTATTTATGCCTCTAATTTTGTGAAGTGCCTGTTCAAATATTTTCCCAATTTTATATTGGGTTCATTTTCTTTTATTGATTACATTCATTAATCACATGTATTGTATTTCATTGCATATATGTTGGGTTAAATAGTTTTCTCCACAATTCGTTTATATTTTAATTGTTGGATAGTATAGTTTGAAACACAGAAGTCATCACTTTTGATATAAACTAACTAAATTTTCCTTCTTAATTGTTACATTTTTGTCTTGGTTAGGAAATCTTTCTCTGTGAGAATATTTTATTGTGTTCCCTTCACCTTCAGAACGTGAATCCATGTGAATTGTGTATGGTTTGAGGTAGGGGTCAGTATTCAGTTATGTCCATTTGAATATTTAATTGCTCCAGTATTGTCCTGATCACCTTGTAAATTTCACTGTAGGAAAACACTCTAATAATGCATGAGCATTTGTATATAAGATGAGATTTAGAAAGATAAGCACAGCATAGGAGGTCAAATAAGATGACCTCAAAGTATAGATTCATAAATAAAACACATGGATAAGTATAATACTGTTAGATGAAGAGACAGAAAATATTGCCAGGTTACCATTTAGTCTTTTGCCTCCAAGTTTTTTCATGAAGCCCAAGATCCCTACTTTGTTCCCTTGATTTTAACTTCGTTTAGACAACTCTGTCATCTATTATTTCACTTTGTGACATTCAGAAATAATGAAAAACCAGAGAATATATTCTATTCCATACATCATGGGTAATGATTTTTCAAAAACGATTAAACAAAGAACCAATACACATAGTTTTAATGTTTTCACCATTTTTAATAGAAGCACTATTAATGAGATTTGATGACATTAGAACGCAACTGAAGACATTAAATATAACTTATTTGTCCTATTTGATGAGGTGCGAAAAAGAGGGCTTTCTGTGATAAATGGGTTCCCACAGCATATAGACACACTTCTGACTTATCTCTCTTCAGAAGTGACTACAGCAAAAGATAGGCCTGAGAGGAGGTGAGAAGGAGCAATTAGGGATGGTGTATATCAGGGAACTTTGATCAACATCAACAAAGGTCATGGTTCTACCTTCACAATCCAGGAATAATCCTACTCGACTGGTAGGTCTTGGAACATATTGCACCACAAGTGGGGAGGTGGTAAAGAGACTGCAGTGAGCATCCTCCTTAACACATCCAAGAAGAAAGAGTCCCTCCCCTCCATCTATCTTATCATTCTGTCTCTTCTCTTTCCAATAATTGTTACAGACACCAAAAGCCCAATTCCAAGTGTCCCCCACATGAACCTCCCAATAATATTTGCCAGATGTGAAAGTCTGAGCACCCCATACAAGAAAACATTCAGATTTTGCAGTGAAATGGGGATCATCTTGAGGGTCACATCCAACATTCATGCTTCTCAAATCTCCATACAGGAAGATATGACTATTTGCTCTCTCAGGCTGCAGAGTAAAATCAACTGCAAAAATAACAAAAAAAGTATAGATACATGTAAATAATAGAAATTAGAATTCTTGAGGGAAAATTTGTTCTACCAAGAAATTTGAAGTTACAAGGACAGGAGAATTTTGATTACAACATTTAATCAAGTATAAGGATGATTAATATTCTCTATAGGAAAAACAACATCCTAAAAACAGACATTGAAAATGTATTGAAAACTCAAAAATTGAGAGTTGAATATAAAACCAGCCTGTTTTAATCCAATTTCCAATGTAAAAGTGAAATGTTATATGCCCCGAATGCCCTTTAGCTATCAAGGTCATTATTAAAATATTTCTTGTTCTTAAATACTAGTGATATACTTTTGACAAGAATGGGAAGATTTTAGTTTATTCAAGCACTGCTCTAGATAACTGGATAAAAGTCCATATGTTCACATTATAAGTGGTAACTTAATGCAGATTTTTGCAAAATATTTCACCAGTCACTCTGTGGACTTCCCTGCTAGCTCTAGATCGAAACTGAATTTTAGATTTTACACGTAGGTCTTCATGGTGTAACTGAACTGAATTTATCATTTCTATATTTACTTCCTATTTACAAAATAATTTCTCCTTTCTTCTTGCATATTAAGTGGAATTTTTACACTATATCAATAATACACATTTATTGTAAGAAAATACAAATACTCCAACAAACTGCTGTGAACTCTATTCTCCAAAAAACTGTTTTTTAAAAATTCAAGTGAAATACAGTAAAGAAATGTAAAATTTTTATGTAACTTTGGATTATTAAGCTTCCTTCTGAGCATTGTTATATTTATTCAATTTTTTACTTCTTATCTCATTCCATTTACCCAAAATATAGCTCTATCCATGTGAGCCCAAAACATACTTGTTTTTCACTATGTTTTACTCTTCATGTTATCAATTGAACTATAAATAGAAACACAGATATAATAGGGTTGCATAGTCTTATCACTCACTTCCTTCCGAAATGAAATAACGATTTGATGAAGGGTAAAATATTACCCCCATGATTCTAACAAGAAGTGATACACTGTGGGAATTCTGCCAATGGGCTGACACTCACCTCTGAATCCATTGAGCCTGTCCAGCAGTCCAGTGATGGGCCCTGCACTGAGCTCTGGATTCGCAGGCTGGGGCACTTGCAGCAGCAGGGACTCATACCTGCAAGGAGAAAGATGCAGTTACCACATCTACAGCCAAAAAGTACATAAAAATCAACTACTTTTCTTTAAAAGACATTTCATGAGACTCCCTTTAACCCACAATTTGCTAATTCCAAAATTATCATTTTCTGTTTCAGATTCATTCTTATTCACAGTTCCTGATTTTCAAGCATGTTAGAAAAGTGTGTCTGAGTGAGAATTCATTTGGATCTTTCTTCTTTTTTTTTTTTTTTGAGGCGGAGTCTCGCTCTGTAGCCCAGGCTGGAGTGCAGTGGCCGGATCTCAGCTCACTGCAAGCTCCGCCTCCCGGGTTCACGCCATTCTCCAGCCTCAGCCTCCTGAGTAGCTGGGACTACAGGCGCTGCCACCTCGCCCGGCTATTTTTTGTATTTCTTAGTAGAGACGGGGTTTCACCGTGTTAGCCAGGATGGTCTCGATCTCCTGACCTCGTGATCCGCCCATCTCGGCCTCCCAAAGTGCTGGGATTACAGGCTTGAGCCACCGCGCCCGGCTGGATCTTTCTTCTTATTGCTCCAAATTAGTAAGGATCATTAATCTTAAGACCAAGAGAATATTCAAAAATAAAATTCTGGGTTCCAGACTTCACCAGAATTTCCTGATATCACCATCTGGAAAGGTGGGGTTATTTTTAAGACTGCTGCATCTGTTGCTTCCTTCTCAAGGCCAGGGTGTTGAAATATGCTCCAGGCAGGGAGATCTGCCTTTTATAACTGAGGTTCTCTGGAGGCCTACACAGTTCAAACATTCCAAATAGTTCGTCTCATCTGTTTTTCAGAATTATATATTTAAATATAAACTAGAAATCATCAACACTTTTCACTGCTAAAATACTTTCCCTTTTTCTCTCTGGCTTCCCCTGGTTGACTTTGTAGCCATGTAGTAAATGTAACATTTTCTCTTTCAAATATGCAGCTTTTTGAGCAATAAAAAGGAAATTAGGAAAAGAGATGCTCACTTTTTTATTCTTCTTTCTTTTTTTTCTTTCTTTTTAATTTTAATTTTTGTTTGTTTGTCTTTTGGTTTTGCAGAACTTTCATTGGACTGCCTAATAAAATCACTGAGTATAGCAACAAAAGAGAAGACAACATAGGGTGGGGGATGGAGAAAGTACAACCAGCACAATGTAATATCAATATCTGAATCAATTATGCCTTCAGTGTCAAAGTTCCTGCTTGGTATTTGTGGAAACTGATAGAGCATCTGCTAAAATCTTGGTATGCACTCACCTGTGTAATATGTCTTCAAAAGCCTGTAAGATAAAAAAGAAAAAGAAAGGCTTAGTGCTTTCCACATGATGCAATTTCCACTAAGTTCACTGTGAGATTTGGAGGCAGTTTCTGAGATGGTATTTTCCTACAGTTTTCCCTCCTGGAAAGCATTTTTTGTTTCTTTTCTCATGAAAATTCCAGTCTGTCATATGTCATGAATTAATGTTCTGATAAAGTCTCAGTCTTGAAGACATTCTCTTTCCAAGTGAAGGAAGAGGAGGCCCACAGAGTCTGTGCTCTGCTGTAACCATAAAGAAGCTACTCAGTCATCTTCCCTAAGCCCTGTTACCAAAATGAGTGGATCTCAAAATAATATTAATGTGATCCTAGATTCCCCAACTTCTCCATCATGCCGTGTCTCCAAATTAACCTAAGTGCAAATGAATCACTTCTCATTTTATCCACTTTCAAAAATCCTAAATATATCATTGACTTTTGATGGGAAATATTTCTTGGGGCTGTTACCTTGGTCATTCCACAAAGTTTTGTTGCTGGTGGATAAAGTAGGAGGGACCTTCGGTTGGTAGAATCCATAGGAGAGGCTATAACCTCCCAACTGAGTAGCATTAGTTATAGAAACGTGTTTTTAGAAACAAATCATGGAAGTAAAGTGGGGTTGGATTTCAGGAGAGAGGAAAAACACCCATGTATGTGAAAGTTCTACATCCTGATACCCCATGGTCAGCCCGTACCTGGAGTAGCTCCACATCTGCTTTATGGGACATTTGCTTCAGATCCTCATACATTCCTCTTAAAAGCTCCCTCGAATGTTCCATTCTGGCTTTGCTTTCATTGAGTTGCTGAAAAATGTCCTCGCCCTCCTTTTGCAGCCTCTCCAAGTGATGTTGCTCTTCGTCATGGAGAAATGCAGGCATCTTCTGATATTCAGCTCTGATTGCTTCTATCCTTAAACTCACATAATCCTGCAGTGACAATAGTCAAAATAGAAATGTTGTATCCATCTTCTCTTGAAGTTCACTGATTCCTCTTAGCATTCTGAACATCCAATATTTCCACAACATTTTATTCCTCTCCTTTTTTCTGCATTAATATCAACATAGGTGTTTCTGCCCAGTTATGTTTACTTGATTAATGATAAAATGTTTTCTAAGATAGTTATATAAAAATGGATTTCTCTCTTCCAACACACATTTATAGAAAGAAAACACAGTTCTTGCTTAAGAATTAAACTATCGAGCAATATTGGCTAGATAGGAAACCATTATTTCTATTTTGGAGAATTGGGGCAATTTATGTAAACCCATTATATGAGAAATTATGCAATGACCACAGACTAGCATTGTCAACTCAATGCATTTCACCCAGCACCACATAGTCTAATTAGGTTTCATTTATTCTCATCCAAACTCACCCTAATCTGCAACATGGATTTCTTTGTGGTTCCTCAACCCCCCAAATAAATGCAAATGAAATATTACTGCACAGGCTGTTTCCTATATCTAGAATTATTTTCATATATATACATATTTCTCATATATGTACTCATATATATATTTCTCATATATAGCTATATATGGATATATGAGGAATATCTATGTGTATCTGTGTGTGCATATATATTCCTCATATATATCCACATATATATATACACACACCCACACCCAGGTACTCATATATATTCCTACATTTATGAGGAAGGGGAAGGCAAACAGGAGGATATCTATATTTCCTCTTGATTCATATTTTGTTTCAGTGTGAATTTTTCCATGAGCCTTTTTTCTGACCACACTAATTAAAACCCAAACCCTCATCCCCAGTCCCTAACCTCTGTGCTTCTTTTCTACTTTCCTGCTTGATTATTCTCCAAAGACACTACTACACTCTAACACATCATGTACTTCACATATCTGCATGGTGACCATTTGCTTCTCTCATTTCAATTGCAAGATTTTTGTGTTTTCTTTCTTCTTTACTACTTAATTTTCTAAGTTGATATTTGACATACACTAGGTATTCATAAAATATTTTTCAATGAATTTATATTAGAATGAATTAATGAATTAATATTAGATATCATACCCTCAAGATAAACGTCCACAAAGACAAAATCATTTCTAGAATTCTTCTCAAGTCCTTAAAGTTCTCCTTATATTAAACACTAGTTCCCATATTTCTCACATATTTGTGTCTTCAAGACATGAGTGTACATTTCTCACCCCTTTTTCCATTACGTGTTATGACTTATTCAATATTAATTAGTTCTGATACTTAATTTCATGCTTCCTCTAAATTTGCACTCTCGCTCCTTCTGCCTGATATTTAACTCACATTTCAAATATATTTGCCCACCAGGATTCAAATTCATGCTGACTCAGCCTTAGAAGGTTCACTTGAAATTTCCATGATGGCCAAATAACGCTTGTGCCCAGAAGTTATCCAGGCAGCCCATTGAGAATGCTGTGAAATGGCCCAGTTTCTTGTATTTGCTGGTGTATTGCTATAGGTTTGTATGGAGACAGATGAGCATGCTTGGGTAACATCTGTGGTCTGGTTAGAAATCCTACCAAAGAGTCACACTATCTTATATAAAAAATTAGGGTATTTTTTTCTCAAGTGTTTTTTCCTTTTTTATTGAATTCCAGAAATATTATGGATTGAGATCAAGTTCCTATTTTAAGAGTCACCCATTTGTTCACCATAAGTTACTGGAGAAGGTAGAGTAATACAGTACTAACCTTCCAGCATCTGGTTCTGGTGGTTTCCATGTTCAGGTTTCTGTGATTTTCACAAGCTTTTTCCCATAAAGACTGCATTTTCTTCAGGAGCTTCTCCTGCAAAAGAGCCATGAATTGAAGCACAAATGAAGACACTAAAGTATCATTCACTCTCTGATATACGAAGGACCCCAAATGAGAGACAAATTGGTCCATAGAAAATAGTTTGCTTTGTTTCTCCAAATGTTTGTCAAATGTGACAGGCGTGAAGCCAAGGAAGCTCATAACAGACATGCTTAAAGGGACACAGAGATGGCATCATCCAATCTCCAAGGAAATAGGCTTACAAGAAAATCTCACAATATTAAGGTTTGAGACAATTGACGTATCAAAATTATTTTATGTTCATTTATAGTGTAGTTTTAAATTTAAATTTTAAAATTTAAATAGTCCCTGACATAGTCAGGGACTGTGTCAGAATGTCAATAAATTTGGGTTATGAAACAAAATCATGGTTTCTCCTGTTTCTTTATATGTGTGTATGTGTGTGTGTGTGTGTGTGTGTGTGTGTGTGTGTGTGTGAATCACGTTCTTGTGAGTTAGGTGTGACATAAACAAAATAATCAGTTTCCTTAAGCAAATTGGGAGCCATGCCTGGATTTAAGTTATATTTTAAAGAATCACTGCCACCTTTATACTTTATTTTTTGAAGTGAAACCACCTCGCTTGAATACACTATAGTCCTGGAATTTGATATTAAGAATCTGCAGTTAGATAACTTCTCAATGCTTTCAACAAATTTTGCCCGTATTAAAAGTATTGTGAAAACTGCCTTTCAAAACTTTTTGCCTGAAAATAATTTCACAATAAATTTCCCCGTATGCCTGAAAAAGGACCATTGGCTGTGGCTGCAAAGACTGCTGCCACACAAAATGACAGCTTCAGGGCAGAACTCAGAAAGCACAAGGGAAGAAAGTGAGTACAGTCTGGCTCTGCATAATGACTTTTTGACCAATAGCAGAATGCATACAAGAAGGAAATTCCATAAGTTATAACGAAACTGAGTAAGTCCCATCTGATAGCGATGTTACAGCTGTCATAACATACACAATGCATTACTCATGGAAATGTATGATGAACAAAAGAAACAAACCAAACATATACCACGTGTTTCTAAAACGGATTATCTCTCCTCAAGAAGAACCTCAGGCAAGTTCTTCAGGAGATATTCCAAAAGAAGGCGTTGTTATCATGGGAGGTACAGTTCCATACATGTTATTGCCTCTGAAAACCTTCCCGTGGGCCAAGATGTGGAGGTGGAAGACAGTGAAGGTGCTGACTCTGACGCTGTGTAGGCCTTAGCTAATGTGCGTGCTTGTGTCCTAACATTTAACAAAATACTTTAAAAAAATGCTTATACAACCATAATATAAAGAAAATATTTGCAAAAATCTGTACAATGTGTTTTGTGTTTTAAGCTAAGCATATTACAAAAGAATAAAAAAGTTAAATTAAAAGTTTAAAAGGTAATAATTTACAGTAAACTAAGGTTAATTTAATATTGAATAAGGAACATTTAAAAAATAAATTTTAGTCTAGCTTAAGAGTACAGAGCAATGTTTATAAGCTAATGTCCTAGGCATTCACACTCACTCACTCACTAACCCAGAGCAACTTTCAGTCCTTCAAGCTTTATTCATGGCGAGTGCCCTATACAGGTGTATCACTTTTTATCTTTTATACCATATTTTACAGTATCTTTTCTATGTTTAGATCTGTTAAGATACACGAATACCATTGTGCTAGAGTTGCCTGCAGTATTCAGTAGAGTGACATGCTGTATAGGTCTATAGCCTAGGAGCAGTAGGCTGCACCATATGGTCTAGGTGTGTAGTACGCTATACCGTCTAGGCTTGCTTTAGCACAGTGATGAAATTGCCTTATGACGCATTTCTCAGAATGTATTCCCGTGGTTAAGTGAGTAATGACAGTACTTACAAGGTGCTTTCACATGGACCTTATGTTACTTCTTGAGTACTGTGCCCAGGAAGTGATGTGTGTATATCTGCAGTCCCTCAGACTTGAGGTTCCCAGATCCCAGAAGCAGTTCCCCCAAAAATTCCAGCAACAGGTACATCCTTCATTTTCATTTTGAAAGAAAATGTAATGCTCTCAGAATTGTGAACTTTACCATTTTGGTGCAGAAAAAAACTTGAGTAACAGAATCAGTGATGAGACTAGCTGTGAAAACAGAGAAGCTTTTTCAAGAAGTGTACTGTGAGCTATTAACCCATGAAAAGGACAAAGAATAATATCCCAGGTAAAAAAAAAAATAAAACGAACACAAAATTGTTTTACAAAGATCTACCTGAATACTAAAATTTGGTAGAAACCATTGCTGTTATTTAGGAAGAAATACAGGGGAAAGAGAGGAAGGGAAAGATGGGGCTGGGAGACAGGAGTAGGGAGAGAGAGAGAACACAATCAGTAGACTTAAAAACTACAGATACCAAGACAATATGATTGAGTGTTTGGTATGAAGCAGACGCGGCAGAGAAAACCACAGTAAGGCGTTATTTACAATGGAATTTTTAGGCCTGGCTTTTATTCTGTCAAGGTTGTAATGTTTTCCCTGGATCCATGCGCTAAATAACAGTCAACACCCACAAATTCTTTCATCATTAATGTTCAATCTAATCCTAATCCGGATATTCAATCTAATAAAAGCACATACCACCGAATAACTTGGGGGGAAATCTGAATAAAGTCTGGAGTTCAGCTCGTCGTAACGTATCAATATTGATTTCCTAGATTTAACAAATGTACAATGAAAATGTAAGATGATTATTTTAGAGTAAAAATTAACCAGGTATGGGAATATGTAAGTCTCTATCATCTTCCCATCTTCTTATAAATCTAAAAAATTATGAAATAAAATCTGAAAGATTACGATGAAGGAAAACATCCATCTGTACTCCACAGCATATTTATATACTAAAAAAGGCAAGTTGTAGAAAGATTCATATACATCAAACCCTCAAATAACATCATTTCATTGTAAGTAATTTTGTTATAAAATTGATGAGAAAAAAAATCAATTACCAGCCATGGCCACTGTCCTTGTACAGTTTGTATGGTCACTCCGTGTCTGCGTATATACAATTACTGTGTATGTACAAATACTATATTTTATAAATATATGCCTAATATACCCATACACCCCACACCCATACACAAGGCTTTGAGAAAGGCACTTTGCTCTGGGAATGAGGCTTATGAGCAGTGAGTTTGGGAGTCAAATCCAGGCAATTTAGCTTCAAGACATCGCTCTTAACCATGATACCACATTACTCTCGCCTGACTTTTTCACAGTGGAAAATACACAGTAGAAACCTCATGCCAATTCCAGGAAATGTAAGGACTCAAGAATTATTTTGACATGTGCAGGAAATGTTGCTTCTTGTCTTCTTTATCAGTATCCCTTGTTCTCTACAACTTTGCTTTTCCTCACCAAACTTTACTTTTCTGACACATTTATGAGTGCATTCCGGTAAAGAAAGAGAGTTTTACTTTGTGTCAGACACTGATAGAAACTCTCCTTCTCCATATATGCCTGAACTTGACTGTCCTCTTTCTGTTGCCATTAGTTAACCCCGAATACCTTTTACCCTTTTAGATTCATAAGGGTGTGACTGAGCAGTTTCAAAGGAATCAACTTTTGCTTTCTCCTCCTCCCTTAGAGTCCTGCATCTGCACTGCTGGTCTCAGACAAAACAGGCAACCCCTATTTCCCATTCTGGGATGTTTTAATGACCAACTTTTCTTATGTTGTGAATTTGAAGGGCAAGGGCAGATCATTGGAAAGCGGATAGACAGGGACCTGTGTTCTGAGAACTGGGCCAGAAGACTGACAGAGGCGCAGAAGAATTTCAGAGTGATTCTGGCAGGCATCATGGTTCAGTAAGGGCCAGAGGAGTGGAACATATGGGCACAGGGTGAGAGGCCTGTGACAGGACGCGGCCTATCTCTTTTGCAGCGGAATGTTAATAGACATTAGATTTTAGTAAACAGAGAACATATCTCTGAGTCAGCGTCAAAAACTTCCACAGTCTGGAAGAATGAAGAGTCACAGGACCTAGCCTCACCTTCCCTTTTGAGTATGAGAGTCTACAAGGCAGTGAGAATGGAAAAGCTTTTATCTGAGCTTAAAACCAATATCTGTCTCTTCAGTCCACACTTACTGGTAAGGTCCAGTGGATGACTCGGCTACAGGTTTCTGAACTTCTGGCTTTTGAGGGAAAGACTTTGTCACCCTCTATGCTGAAAGTATTCTATGTACTAGGAACCCCAGTCAGTGAATCTTAATATCAAGAAATCTTGGGAAGCACAAGGTATTCTAAAGGCTTACATGAATAGTTTGCAGCCACATACAGACATCAGAAGAGGGGTCCTGACAAGGATGCACTGACCTTCTTTATCTCACTGTCCTAGAATTACTGTGTCTGTACGTGGTCACCTTGAAGGAGACGGACCACCCCTTCCACCCCTCTACTCCAGTATCGTGTGCATCTACCTCAGTGATTTTGCTGTGTTGTGTTCATAATGATTGTCCAGTTGATACCAAATCTTGAAGAAAATTTCCAAAAGAATATTAACGTGGTTAATTGTCGATTGCCCCTTTACAGGAATCTGGAATCTGAATGGTGTTTCTATAAGGAGCTCTTTGGATCTCGTTTTACAGGACCCTGAATCTCTGGATATAGATCCTCAATGTCCACTTCTTAGGAAGAGTAGGTGTAGTAGGTTATATTCCTCCCCCATTCTCGCTAAAAAGTGCTAAAATATATATTCCGTCCCCCATTGTCTTTCTATGATGTAACTTCAAGACTGCTACTGCTGTGTGTGTTCTAGTCCCTTTACTTTGTGTAGGGTTGTAACTGCAGCTGATGTTTTACTCTGTAGCATAATGGTAGTATAGACTTCTCCTGACTCTGTGGGAATCTTCACTGTGGAAAATTATCTACTATGCTGTGAGCAAGGCCAAGCGACTACCTGGAGAGGTCGTTTGAATATATTCTAGGTAACAGCCCCAACCAAGGAACCCCAGACATCAGCCAGGATCATCTGCTGGA